AATGCCAGGCATTTTTCTATTCAGTTCGGGTGATCTTTTTAAAAAAATCAATCACTTATTTCCGCGTTTACGTCTTGTAAAGTATTCTATTATTTCATCCCATAGTCCATAATTGGTCGCTTTGCCCTGTTACAACATACAATACCTTGCCTCTCCTCTCTGAAGCAAAAGTTCACACCATTATTTTCGTTGCTTTTTCTGAGGATTAGGAAGAAAATAAAAAAAACCAATTGCGTGCCCATGGCTTGTGTATTACATGTAATGAATTCGAGATTGAAATTCAACTTTATTGACAATTGCCTATTCATTTATTCATGTTGACTTACTGCATGAAGACAATTGATTTCAATATAAATTAATCATAGAGAATATATGTTTAAGGCCGCTCCAATGATCGATGCTACTGCTGCATACAGTGACATTAATACATTGACGAGAACTTAATGACGTCTCAAGGATACACATATGCTGTTAAGGGAAAAGCGTAATAATAAAACACATTTGCCTCAATTTATCAAAGCGGCGCGCTTTTATCAACTTAAAAATTAATGTAGTATTTATAAATTAATTCACTATTGCACTGTTATTTTCAAGGTGTTATTTTAACCCCCAAAATAGGGGTTACAAAAAAAAGTCTAAAATAAGCCCTTTTTTGGGGTTAAAGTGATCCCCCTATGGGTGTTAAAATTTAACCCCGATTTTGGGATTAAAATGACACCTATTTAGGTGTTAAAATGAACCTGTTGGGTATTAAAAATTTAATCCCGTTTAGGGTTTTAAATTTACTTAATACCAATAAGGTATTAAAAGACACAGGTTTTAAAATAATTAATTGTAAATTTTTAAAAGCTCACCTAAAGGTAAATCACTTTGATGGAAAGTCATTTTTCGCTTGATTTTCTTTTCAATTGTGATCTATCAAGTGAATCTGCTTCGGTTTAATTTCACAATTGAAAAGAGAATTGAGCGAAATATTCCGTTCCATCGAAGATTTCCACCTCCACCTATATAGTGAAAAACCTTAATAATACCGAATCAACAAACAAGCAGCACAAATATCGTTATTATATTATTATAATATTGAATACATGAGATCAATTACGTTTCCGTTTGAGTACAGCTAGTTATTAACTACGCATTAAAGGAATTGCTTCTATAGTATAGCTCTTTAATACTTTTTATTTACATTTTAATACACATGCACATTTGAAAAAATTAAGAAAACGTTTTTAGGTGGAGTAGCATGCATGCATGCATGAAACACAATGGTATAGTCATTAAGGCACTTGCTGTTCAGTTCTACTAAGCTAAGACTCACTCAACCACGATGATGATCTGGCTGTAAGCAATTCTGTTCCACGTTTCTTCTTTTACAATTTGCCTCGTAGTAAAATTTACGGAGGTTTTCTGTTGTGCCAATTGCACGAAACGAGTCTTCATTCTACGAACAAATAGAAAAATTGCATGTATATGAGTGTAAATTTGAGTAGTGTGCAGTGTATGCATACACTAGAGCACATTGTTCAACAGACCTGCAAAACCTATATGTTCTACGTGATCCAAAAATGCAAACATACTCAAACAAATAAGCAGAAACATGTGAGTATAAGGAAGGAATAATTTCAAGTAATTTAGGCTTAGCTAATATAAAAAAAATACGAAAAAAATATTCCACATACCTAAATTTGCTGCCTGCAGTGTTATCAGGATAAGTTGCTTCGTCCATTAAACATTTAACAGTTTTTTTTAGAGTTGTTTTCAACATCGTTTCGCTAGGTTAGGGCTTTCTGGAATTGAAATGCATCCCAAATCTTCAGAAATTCTGCATTGCTTCTTCTACCCTCTACCCGGCATTGTGGACTTCTGTCCTTCTACTGCTTCTAAAGATACGAATGTGAATTGTTATAGACTATTAAAATATCCAAGGAACTTTTAAGGTAAATATCGGAGGCTCGCGATATCATGTATTCATGCTGATCAGAAACACAAAAATACTTCGCTGTCAGTTTAGCGACTGAAAAACTATTTTCCCAAAAGCCCCACAGGAAAAAATAAATCTACTAGCATAAAAAATTATAGAAACAACTATTTGAAAAACATTTTAGAATCAAACTATCAGAATCTTGCAATAAATTTGTCTTTTTTTGCAGGCTAGTTAACACAATAAAAAGGCGGGAAAACTAAATGCAAGAATAAGTTACTTTAAATATTTACCTTGAAATAGCTCGCAGTAGTCGCCAAATCCAGCTTTACGCATCCACAGTTGGTATTCCTCTACTAAGTTTAATATTTTCGAATAAAAAGTACCGAGAACGAGAGCTTTTCACGGAGCGAGCGAGGGCTTCGTGTGTACTTTGCAAACATTTCGACAAGAAAGACCCGGCCACGGAGCTATATTAAGACCTGAAGTCTTAGCATAGGTATCCTTGGCAATTCAACTCACATCATGAGGTTTTCTTTTTCTTGATTAGTTGAGTCAGTTTGTCTTGATTTTAAAATCAACTGCCAAAATTTGAAATGAAAGTTAATGTTACTATCACTAATGTTTTGTACTTTATAAATTTATGAACATACTCTATTGTACCTAACAAAACACTTCTTCAGTTTAATCAGAAATCAATTTTTAAAAATTTGACCTTTTGAATTAACATTCTTGATGGCTCATAAAAGTTAAATTTTCATATATAAAAAACAATCAATTTGTCTTTTCCAATGTCCCACTTGTAGACCTCAATAACATTTATACAAAATAACCAGCAACAGCAAATCATAGATTAATTAGCCTTGCATATGGAATGCCATAGCTGTCTTACGTGGTATATATTCATTATATGCGGTGCATTTTTCTTTATATGCTGTCCTTTTGACATTATATGCGGTGCTTTTGTCTCTATATGCTGTCCTTTTGACATTATATGCGGTGCATTTTTCTTTATATGCTGTCCTTTTGACATTATACGCGGTGCATTTCTCTTTATATGCCGTGCAATTGACATTATATGCGGTGCATTTCTCTTTATATGCCGTGCAATTGACATTATATGCGGTGCATTTCTCTTTATATGCCGTGCAATTGACATTATACGCGGTGCATTTCTCTTTATATGCCGTGCAATTGACATTATATGCGGTGCATTTCTCTTTATATGCCGTGCAATTGACATTATATGCGGTGCATTTCTCTTTATATGCGGTGCAATTGACATTATATGAAAAATCATTATACTCAATTTCATTATCTGGTACCCAGCCTTTTACATTTCGCACGCGGACAAGGAAACTACGTGGTCCTAACATGACGTTCCGCTGGAACGTTCCCTGTAATCCTGTTCTTTCAATTAAACAACATGCAGGTTTCTACATCAATGTCAAGTGTTTTGGAAAAGCTTAATCTTGGTTGTCACAATGAAAAATTCACTGAGGAGAAGATCACTCCTGATATAGTTTGTCATCTTTCATTGTTTGAATTTCATCAGTTAGGAATAAGTAACGTAAGTGACGTGATGGCTTTGCGAATTGAGTGTAACTAAGTATGGAACTGGAACACCAACCAGCCAACGAGATGAATTTGGTAATTTGAAATATGAAATCCCCAAAGAAGTGTTAAAAAGTTACCTTGAAGAAGATTTTAAAATATCAGAAATTGCAACGATGTTTTGTGTGTCAGAGAGTACTATATATCGGCGAATGAGGTTTTACGGTTTAAGCAAATTTGACTTTTCTGATATTTCTGATCAACAGTTAGACAACTGTGTGAAAGATATTGCAAAAGAATTTCCACTATGCGGGGAGGTAATGATCAAGGAGCTTCTCAGGGGAAAAGGTATCAAAGTTCAAAGAATGCGATTACGAGATTCTATTCATGGTGTAGATGAATGTGGAGTTCGAGAAAGAAAGAAAGGAAGATTGCACCGCAGAGTTTACAATGTTAAAGGCCCAAATAGACTATGGCATGTGGATACAAATCATAAGTTGGTACGTTGGAATTTTATAATTGTTGGTGGCATAGATGGATTTAGTCGTTTGCCGGTCATGTTGGACTGCACCAATAACAACAAGGCAGATACTCTCCTCTCTTGTTTCACGAATGCTGTCTCTGACTATGGTTTGCCTGACAGAGTGAGAACTGACAAAGGTCTAGAGAATGTCGGTATAGCAGATTATATGATCGAAAAAAGGGGTAGTAATCGTGGTAGTATAATCACTGGGCGAAGTACGCACAACCAACGAATTGAAAGGTTGTGGCGTGATGTTTTTCAGGGGATATTGAGCTATTACTACCATTTATTCTACTTTCTTGAGGACCAGCATTTTCTTGATCCTATAAATGATGAGCATATCGCTGCCTTGCATTATGTGTATATGGATGAAATTAATAGCAAGCTAAAACTGTGGCAAAGAGCATGGAGCAATCATCGTATGCGTACTGTAAGGTCAAGTCCATTGAGGTTATGGATTGCAGGTCAGGTTCAAAATCCTGTTGGAATTGAGTTGTCAGCTGATGAAATACAGTTGTATGGGGCAGAGGGTCTCGAAAATATCGATGAAGAGGAATCAGATCGACCAATTTTTGCACCACCAATACTCGAACTTACTGATGACTGCATGGCAGAGCTCAACTCTATTAGATCTAGTCAAGGTGACTACAATGTTGGGAAATACATGAAGGCTCTTGAAATTATTGTACAACACACAAGCAGTAACTAATTAAAGTTGTCATAAACACTATTTCAGAGAAAGTTGATATTATATAACATTTTCATTAGTGATTTAATCATGCAAACATATTTAATTTCAATTGTTTGAGTCCCACAATGTATATATATATATTAACATTTTATACTGTATGGACCCTTAACTAATATTAAGAAACAAAACACAAAGCTCATAAAGGCTTTACTAACACTTGGGTTACTTGTTCAGAATGTCAACCAAATTATATTACTTCCTGTTTCCATTTAACCAGAAGCCTAATGATCACAATGTGATAAGCAATACACTCACATATTTCCAAAATATGCATTCAAGAAAGCTTCATCATATAATTCCCACAGCTTTTGGTCATGGGGTAGTTGAACAGTTATGGGTGCATGAGGTAGAGTCATAGCATTTACACATGTATTTGCTGTGGGCAAAAATGATTGAGTAAATTCTTGGAATATAATGGACGGTGCTACTGTGAATCCCAATAATGGCTCTTCATCAGTTGAGGTTGCAAACTGAAGTATATGTGCCAATGTAACATCTCCCCGGCGTCCACCTGAAATTGTATAAGTTGTGTTTAGGTAAATATTAAATAAAAAATCCACAGACGTTTGTTTTTCTGACATTTTGACCAAAAAGTATCAAATTCAGTTAATTTGTTTTGTTATTGAAGTTTTCCTTTGATATAACACCAGTTTAGTGTAAAAATAAGGATTGTGTACCACTTCAAGATGTTAACTTTTCCATTCCTACCCACCCTGAAGTAGCAAAATGGGATGAAAAATCACTTTGACTACACATGACTAAACTATGACTACACATACCCGCGACCTCGCGAACATATTTGCAGAATACAGCATAAACTGCACCCTCAAAACGCCTCCTATTTGAGCCAGTTGGACTGAATTGTGGAGACAAAAAGGCATTCAATTTTCGTATTGTTAATGTGGAAGATGGATTGAACCTAAATACATCTTGCATTGATGGCATCTGGCTGCAAATCTGAAATGATAATTCAGCCAAAATATTACCATGCACTTCCATTAGCAATACTGTTAACTAGCAATATTCACTACATTGTTAAATAATTGTTACAACATTTAGCATTCTACAAAATTTTTTTTGTACCAACCATATAATAATGTCAACAAAATATCTTCTCACCTGAAAGATTCCCACTTTCTTAAGACCAGTCCTTAGATTTTCAATGCAGGCCAATTTGACATTCACATCAAATAAGGCAGAAATGACATCTGGTGGAATAAACTGAGGAAGTTTCCCATTTTGCAAGATACTTAGGCCTGTATGAGCAAAGAAAATAACAAAAATTTTTGAGATAATTGGGGGGAATCACATATGAACATGTACCCCCCAATTATTGTGCTTGTTATGCCAATGGGTAATCTGGAGTTTGATAGGTGGTTAAATTGTTAATTGATTATAAACATACCCATTATGGTTCCAACAATTTCATATTCATCTTTCAGGAGTTCGCGCAAACCATGGTCAAAATATTTTTCTTTTATCTCCCGAAGAGCTAATCTAAAAAATTCCCGTCTGGGCCCACCATAGTCCTGGGCTTGCTATATAAAATATTTTTTTAAGAATAATTAATAAAAAATAACAATTAGAAAGATTGAAATATTCATTGTGACATTTGCATAATAATTTAAAGATAAGGGCCTGGAGCATTCACAAGAGTTTTAGGGGGGAAGTTGGAGTCCATTAGAAAGGGGTCCCCCAATATTGTATTGCAAAATCTATATGAAGTTTGATAAATTTGTGTCTTACTACAATATATGTAGTAACTTCAAATCTGACAAAAAATACAGTATTGTTTACCTCCCCATAAAACTGGACACACAATGTGAGGAAAAGATTATCTATTGCAGCAATCTCTTCTAATGCAGTTTCCAATAAGTTGTAACGATCAACATAAATGTAACTTGTCTCGCCTTCTGGGCAGACATCTTCCCTTTCAATGTCAAGACTCCTCCCTTGTAGTATCTTAGATTGTAATAAGCGAAGAATTTCTTTGTTGCTGACCACATCACTTTCCTTGCACTGCTCTACTACTTCACCTACACGACGCTCAAGTTCGTTCATATCTATTGGACCTTGCATGTCATCTTCAATAGAAATAGGTCTGTTGGCAATATTCTGTTGTGGACTGTTCACTTGTTGATTTGCAATTACTGAAATGCTTGTTTCAGCATTTATATCAGGTAATTGTTCAACATCAACACTAACAGGCCTTTCAGTGGTGCTTGTTTGTGGTTGAACACTACCAGTTAGTTGTCGGTGAGCAATAACGGTAGGTTGTCCCAATATTTCCATTGATGTTATCCTCTCACTGTTTCCATTTATCTCAATCTCGGATGTAGAGTTGCTAGCTTGAATGTGGTTAGAATCAGTTTCATTTTCAGAAGAATCTGAAGATAAAATACCAGCTGTACAGCTGTACAAATGAGAACGCAATTCATTCATTGCATATTCTTTCTGACAACCTCAATTTTTCTTTAATCTGAATATTTGCATCAGATTGAATTGAGGTAGTTGCCAGATTCCTTTGGATGGGTCTGACATAGATTTTAGACTGACTTCCAAGATTTGCCTTTAGGTTTCCAACAGTCCATGGAGAATCAATAATTGTTAGTTCTCTACAGTTAGGTAAGCAGCGAAGCAATTCAAACCCACCTTTGTCACGAAGTTTGGGAAAACCAATTGGTTCACCAGTATCAGACTTTTCATCAGACATTATTTTGTCTACCACTTGTTGGGCGTTGTCACTTGCTTGAAATCTAATTTTCTTCAAACCCAACCCAGCATTATGCAAAATTTGTTTTTCAACGGAATTTGGGATCTTTGATTGCCTTCGGTCGGCCAGGCAAAGAAATTGCGCAGTCCATGTTCGCCCACCAGTTGCCTTTCTTTTCCGCGAAGAGCAGCCTGTTCTTGAATGGCGAGGATTAAAAAGCCTCAATCTCTCCGATGCAACAGAAGCCAAAGATGGCACTGCACTAGATGCACCATGAGACACAGTAGTAGGCTCACTAGAGGAATTTGAAGATGATTCTGCGTTCCCGGCCCCGAATTCGAATGCTCTGTACTTGTGATGGATGTGCAAACTCTACATGCTCGCCGAAGACGAACGCGATCTCCCACAGTGGATATTCCAAGACGTGTAAGTTCGCCATCAGTCATTGCTAAAACAATCTCTGGCTCGATTCGTTCTTCTTTAAAGCGTTGACTAAGTGTCCCAAGACCTATTTCCTCGAGAATTTTTTCCATCCCGCATCAAATTTAAATTATTACCAGTATTTTAAAAGAATAGAATTTCAAAATGCAAATATATGCGGTGTTATGCGGTGTAAAAACCAGTGAAATCAATCTTTCCCGCCAATTCGTCTGCGAACAGCGAAGTTTTGCTGCCTTATGCGGAACGTCATGTTAGGACCACGTAGTTTCCTTGTCCGCGTGCGAAATGTAAAAGGCTGGGTACCAGATAATGAAATTGAGTATAATGATTTTTCATATAATGTCAATTGCACCGCATATAAAGAGAAATGCACCGCATATAATGTCAATTGCACGGCATATAAAGAGAAATGCACCGCGTATAATGTCAAAAGGACAGCATATAAAGAAAAATGCACCGCATATAATGTCAAAAGGACAGCATATAAAGAAAAATGCACCGCATATAATGTCAAAAGGACAGCATATAGAGACAAAAGCACCGCATATAATGTCAAAAGGACAGCATATAAAGAAAAATGCACCGCATATAATGAATATATACCACGTAAGACAGCTATGGCATTCCATACTTGCAATACATATTGGGTATAATTATGGCTTTAAATTATCTGCACTGTTCCATGCTTGATTCACATGATTTGGACTATTCAATGCATGGTTCTCTGACAAATAATATGAACACAAAATAGTTTTTTCAAAAAATTGTATTTATTGCCTGATGAAAATATAGCTTGTTAATTATATATATATATATATATATATATATATATATATATATATATATATATATATATATATATATATTTATTTATATATATATATACCCAGCTAACACAATTACGTTGTAGCAACGTTGTACGAACGTTTGCCGAACGTACACACTACGTTGTAATTAACGTCGTTGGAACGTACTTTTGTGAACTCCCACGAACGGATTAAACACGTCGGGATTGACGTACCAGTTTTACGTTCGTACAACCTTCGGTCGACGTTCGGACATTTATACAACGTTCATAGCACGTTTCTGGAACGTTCCAACAACGTACAGTGAACGTTCACTTAACTGTTGGTATGAAACGTCCTCATTAGTTTGAAAGGCATTTTTCAGACAAGTCCTTGAATTATCAAATTTCATGCAATATATGCATGTTAAAAATTTTTATCTTGCTTAAATTATTGGTCAACAATACAACATGATGTACAGGATAGAATGCAATTTATTTAAATAAAACTTAACTGTGTATACATGTATAAAATTAATACGAATCAAACCATTTACAATATTCTGTATTATATATATGTATATCATGCCAAAAGGCCTATCTACATGATGCGATTAGTCGTATGCGATTCATATACCGGCGTATGTATTCGAGTAAATAGTGTAAAGATGTCAAATTTTAAATTTCGTTTTAATAAACTGAGGAACAGAAAGACTGGCATCAGCAATCGTTTTCATACGTCTGGATAAGAATCGCATACCACTAATCGCATCGTGTAGATAGGCCTTAGATAAAATGTACACCATAAAATAAGTTATGCACTTCCTTGCTCCTGGTTCCTACGATCCTGCAAAGAAAAAAACGCAATAAATGTTAGGTATATGTTGGACATATAAGCCCTTCAAATTTATGGTAATATGTCAAACATTAATTAGAGTCTGTATAAGATAATTTTCATATACGGACCGTAAGACGCGCGTCTCCTGTATATGTAGTTTGCACCCTACTAGTGGCTAGTATTAGAGTTTGAAAATTCGATTGTGACAAAGATTGTGAAGAGGTCCGCATTGCTGTAATGCGAGCCTCGTACTCTAGCAATTATAGAGGTGAGTTATAGTTACCTTGTATCTAGAGCCACCGGATTTCTGTGGAGCATGCTTCAAATACTCTGCAATTTGTTCCTCGATGTCTATTTCACTTACACCTTTGTGAACACGTAGACAGGCCTCTATAATTAAACAAAAATAGAACAATTATAGCTAATTATCAGAAAGGGTTAATAGCAATGAGCCAGTTGTTCGAAAGGTGGATTAGCACTAAAGCACCTGTACAGTACATGGGTACATTCATCACCAAACAGAATACATTATAATTCATTATTTCCTGGTAAAGCCTGGCACAAATATCATGGGCCAAACAATAATGTACAAATATACTATGCTATACTTACTGATAACAATTTTCGAGACAGCAAGTTCTTTAAATGCCCGCTTTGCTTTTCTCCCCTTCAGACTATATAATGACCACAGCTTGTTTGTTCCAACCTTAGCCAGGATTCTTCTTGTGCTAACACCATGGTTATGCCCACACAGAGCAAGGAAGAATTGTAACTACAAGTAAAATATTTATATTAATTAATTTATCGTGAACAAAAACAGTACGTGGCAGAACAAATGGCAAACCAGGGTGTCTGCATTATGCTCATTACCATTTTTTTCCTAGCATCTTCATCTGCAAGTCGATCATTAAGGTTTTCCAATTCTCAACTGAGTCCAGAGGATTGGGAATAATATCCTCAAGCATGTCATTTCCACTAACACCTCTTGTGGCACCAAGTACTACCCGCAAAATTGATAATGCTTCTTCTTGTTTTTCAAGCATTATATCAAGCTTCGTCAGAACAGATCTTTGAAAGCCTAATGACATTTTAAATGTATTTATACTATTAATTATGTAACTTTGTTAGGAATGGATGACCAGCTTTCTTGATATTGGGAAATGACTGGCCACACCAGAAAACATAAATGCACATAATATTAAATTATTACATTACGTGCATATAATTGAAACAACATATCCACAAAACAAAAAATCAGACAAGATCTCATGGACTCTAAAGAAACCACGCCAACTTACTGTCGTGATCCTGATGTAGAGAGTTGCGATTGCCTGATTTTGGTGTTTCAAAAGAGTCTGTAGTTGCACCAGAACCTGACAATTGAGAAAGAAAATTACTGAAAATGCAAAAAGTTATAAATTTGACTCTGAACAATATAGCGCAATGTTCTAGAATATATAGTACCCATATGTACACTGGCCATGTTTTATGACATATAAAACACTCAGCTTTGTCTCGTGTTATATATGTGATAAAACACATGTGTTTTAAATAGTACTTAAAATTTTGTCATGGCTTCACAACATGACCCGTTATTGCAGCAAGAAAGTGTTCAGTATAGACATAAAATATGCAACATTAAGTTGAGCACAATTTTTATTCCTTCCAGCTATGTCCAGATTTGAAATAGTGATTTCTTCTTTAGTAACTGTTTGAGAAAGACTACCACTACATAAAATATTTCTCTTTGGCAAAGCATAACGAAATCAAGTATACATACTGTAATTCTGGCTTCTTTCACATGAATTCCTGTTGCCTTCAGGAGTTCCAACAGCTGTTTGATAAAAAAATAGCCTCAGTCTGGCCTAGCATATGAATTAATGACTCAATACACGTACATACAGTACACTGTACAATAAAAGCTAGAAAATCAAATGGAACATTCTTACTTCCATGGACATTCTGTACACCAGAACTTAAACTGGTCCTAGATGCATCAGTGAGAGGATTGCTCAGGGCACTAAAAATTTCTGAATATCAACAAAGTATAAATTAATACAACAGCAATAAAAACGTTTTAACTAAAAAGTATGACCTTATTTAACTACTTTCAAAATATCAGGCATTAGAAAGACGATTTTGCGAATTATTCAAAAGAATATGTGATTTGCACTGGTCATATTTAATTACACATAAAAACACATTCAATGCTTACCACTGGGATTTAAAGAGAACACCTGATTGACTGCATTTACAACTGAACCATCTTGAAGAACATCATGATGACCCAGGCTATTGCTCACATCGAAGGTTGACAAACCCTTTCTCTGAGCCATGGGCAGACTCATTTCATTCGATGGATTTGATGAAAAGCTCGGTGCAACAGGGAGCAATGGTGTAATAACTGGGGAAGATGATGTAGGGGCTGACTTCTTTTTCCCATTTTTTGAGATATCTTCATCCGCTAAAATGTAAATGAGAGAAACAACTATAACCTCAGTTGCAGAACAATATAAGTGCTATACACCACACCTGGTCATGATTGAGAACACTTTTTCTCAGGGCGAAAATCCCATCCTTACTATGTAAGAAATATAAACCTAATGCCCTCAACATTTCAACTACAGTAGCCTGTTGAGCAATACCAAAGAACTTACTATCACTGCCTTCTGAATATTCAAATAAACTGGCTTTTGTGCGCCTTCTTTTTCTTGCATGGCCAGAATCTGAATCGGATTCAACATTTGATGTTTCTTCAGCCCTTTTCAAAATCTTTTGTGCTTTTGCTACTGAATCTAATAATAATAAAACATGGCATATAAAACTCTAATTGGCAATTTAGTTGTCAGGGCAGGTGTCCAGATAAAGTGTTAAAAAGTGCCATTACTGTAATGGTTGGAACCTTCAAAAAGCTCCCGACACAATTTTCAAAGCTATTAAAAACAAACCTGTATATGAGAAAACTCTGACTTTATAAGCAATCCAAGTTTCTTTGTCTGGAATCTCGAGCTTCCTTAATTTATGAGATGCATTATTTCGTGGCCAGTAGCAGTATAATTCCTAGAATGACAAGTTTTGTAAACAAAAATACTGTTAAACTAGAGTATTTAGCAACATAAGATCATCATGGAATGGTCTATTTAGGGTGTTAGCAAGTCAAAAATTTGGCATGATACATGTACCCTGTTTTCACAACCAAATCTAGCCAGCAATTATCACAATTTAGAAAAAGGAAACTGGGTAACACCCAAGAACTATTCTGCAAGTGAACAAAATTCAACAAATTCTAACTACTTACACAATCAATTGTCTCAATCCAACATGTTGCAACAATTTCCACTAATTGTTCCTCTATAAATTCAACGACAGCATATATGTTGTTTGCCATCTATAACAGAAACAATAATTAAACAAATTGCATAATTTTTTGGGATTTTAGAGGTGCAGAATTATAATTAAAACCAGTACCTTCAGTGCAGAGTGCTGTTAGTATTTTGTGTGCAATATAGCCATGAATATAATTTTGTCAGGGCCAAGATTAATTTTTATGGCTTTTCTCTTGAGATCTTTGGAAGGCAGTAGTCTCATATTTGTCCAGCGTTGGTTAGCCTTGTAAGCACCAATGAGGCGGGAATCACATGGAGTCATGAAGATGGATTCAGTTTTGCTATAAACTCGGCATTGAAATAATTCATCCCCATTGTGATCATGATTGCCAGTCTTATCTACTACTTCACAACATGATGATTCAGACAAAATAAAAACATTATCTGGATTTTTTACACTGACTGCATCCTCATCTACAAGTTCAATGGAACCAGAGTGTTCACTCATGCGTTTTGCAATCTGTGCAATTGGACTCTTCCCTGATCGCACAAGACGTTTCAACTTTTGCATGTAGTTTTCAAATGGGAAAGAACTACACGCGTCTAAACTTTCAAACTCTTCAACCACATCTGCCAAATGAACCATACTATGCACATTATATACCAAAAACTCATCACCATACAAACATTTGCCTTGCTCAACAAAGTATTCCATGAGTTGCTTCGCATATATCCCTGTAAGTCTTAGCTAACATAGGGCACACCAAAATGCAGCTAGCAACGCTAAGAGATAAGAAGTGCTCATATAAATCTGGTCTTAGGATACCGGATAGAACAATTTTTCCAGTATACAAAAGAAATTGCCGAAACTCAGTGGCCTTCCACCGATCAATTTCTGCTAAGCTCCGTGGCTTACGTGCAAATGTGCTGGGTATGGAAGACTTGACCTCTATCAATTTAGTACTGATAGACTCCGCCTGGCCAGCCGATATCTTAACTTCTCGCTTTCCTCGTAACCATAGCAGAAGCAATTTCTTCATGACGCCCAGACACAATTGATGCATGTAGTCAATCGGAAATTTCTTAATCATATCAACTGGCAATTTACTGAAGGGACTAACACCATTATGATGCCCTTCATGCACTTGTTCTCTAAAAGAAACATCTGTCCGCAACTCAACATTTCTAATCAGAGAGTACACAACACGACCAACCCATATGCCCTTCTGTGCACATTTATCACACCCAAAATAGCCAGAACACAACTTTGTGCCTTTTACAAGGGCTCTAGCGGGAGCATCAAACTACACATCTTAAACAAACTGAAAGAACAGTTTCACCGTCTTGGAGCCCATTCTGTAGAAGATTATTCAAATCTCCAATTAGGTCATCCAAAAAATCCAAATCAACTGGTTTGGAATTACCACAGGTTAAAACCACTGGGAAAACAACTACAGGTGTGATATTTACAATGGCACATAATACTGGCCATAAACACTTCCTTGAACTCTTAAATAATGGAAGACCATCAACATTCAAAGAAATTTCAAGAGAATTAGTCCTAGCAATTATGTCTGAAGGATATTTCTTAAAGTGTTTCAACAATTGATTAGCAAGGGGAAAATAAACATATTCCATTCCAGACTTTTCCTGAATGGTTATATTTCTGGATGTGTGCAGCAAGGCACGAGCAGTAAGAGGCAAGTTTGGATGCCCATTCTCTTTCAACACAGAAAGAAGACCATCAAGTGCATTATGTTTTATCATAAACCTATTAGCCCAATTGGTTAAGCCTTCAGCAAGAGAATCATCTAACAAATTATCATTCTCAGAATCTGATGAAGAAATAGAGTTATCATGCCAAGTCTCATCCAAATTTAACCTATCATGATTGCTTAAGTGATTTTCCTCAACAGAGGTGCAGATACGTTTAACAGGCTGCAGGTCATGATCATCTGACACAGTTACAGTGTCATGGTTCGGGGGTGCTGAATCAAAAGGTAGTTCAAATAATTCAGTATCATCAACTTCAACTGGAATGGGAGCACTAGTACGTTTTAAACTACGAGCTGCAGCAGTCCAGTTCTTCCTATACTGTGCTCGGTTTGCTTTCATTTATGAAGCTGCAATAAACAACAGAATATAATCACTCATTGCTTTTTTTTTGGTTTGAGAAACTACCTGCAGTTGAAATTTTGCAGTGATGTTTAAAATATGAAAGTTAATTAAGTCTATCATAAATGTAGGTATACATGCAAAATATACAATATGAATAAAACATAAAATATTGAGCAGTTCTAATTGCAAAATCGACTTCTGTGTGACAATTACTCATGATTCCACTTCTCTTTGAATGTATTTCTCTATATTCCCTGTTTAATTAAAATGACTATGTCAACTACACCCCATGAAAATTCAACACAGTTTGTGGGTGCAACAAAACTTCTGACAAACTTAAAACTTATTTGTTAAATATATTATTCACCAGTAATTACTTGAATCAAATACCAATATTTTAAATATATTATAGTCATACAACTATTCAATATTAATGTTACAGCATTCAGAATAATAAAAAATGCCAAGTATATGATGTAGTCATGCTGTAGGATCTATTATTGTGCATTCTTATGAAGGATCTATATATTATGGTGCAACAAAAATTTGTTTTAGTTTTAACAAGATTGATTAATTATCAAAACCTGCAAACTGCAAAATCTATACCATGAATTTGTGGTCACAGCTGGGCAAATGGGTTGTGTTGCACAAACATTGAACTTTAAATATCAAGTTCAAATTTTAAGTGCACACAGGTATCACAGTGCCATACTACATGTAGGCCTATATACATGTAGGCCCATATATAAAGGGCCTGCTCCTGCTTGCTGGGAAATTGTAGAATGTGTGTCAACTCTCATGCTTTTACACATACTGTATTTTTTCAATTACCTTAAAAAGCAATTTGATAATTAATGAAAAAGATTTAAGTGGAGCATTTTAGAGGTAATAAGTTAATAAGCAAATTTGAGCACAGCAAACATTATTTCTTACATACTGTACATGATACATTTATGACTATATCATGTATGACTGTATGACTATAACAGTGGATGATCAATTTACTTTTTTTGAATAAGCTCTTCAATTATTAAACATATAAAAAGATAAAAGAGAGACAATTTACACCTTATCTAATGTACTAGAGTAACATAAATTATTTATACTTGATTGAATCAGACCAAACTGGCAATTATTGATGGATTGAACTCAACCGATTTCAATCCTTCTTAAAACATGCCCATCCGTATTTTTGGAAAGGTGTAATATCTCTTTTATCTTCCTTTAAAGTTTAAACTATGATTTAATTATTCTATATAAAGCCGTTTAATGAAACGATAACTGTTTATAAAGGATGATGAAAACCACCATATGGCGGCCATCTTAAATGCAAATATTAACATGCCTAATAATCTTTCCTCGCAATATATGTAAATATTTTCATACACATTAAATTACTAGCTAGTAAGAATATAATCCCGTGCTTTTGGGCTTATATTCTACACAAACGTTCTTTGATAGAACCTCTAAAATCGCTATACTTTCGCAATATTAAATATATGATAATTAGTGAGAGCTATAAACGTATATGATCGTCTTGGTATAAATATTTATAAGTCTTATAAATCTAGTATTCTCTGTATATAGGTAACATAATTATACTTACTTTAAAATCAAGCGACAATATCCGTAACAAAATCTTCTGTAAATAATACGTATGACTCCAGCAATAGCCAAGACAGAACGACAGAACACGCTTCAAACAGTAAAAATTTTACAGCGGGAAGAGACGATCAAAGACGAACACGCGTTCAAAGTTCAAACAGATATCACGTGTCACTATGATATATATATATATTATATATATTCGAAAATGGCAACGTTGTATCTACGTTATTTGAAGGTTTATGAATACGTTTTGCTTTGACGTCGTCTCGACGTTAACAAAGGACGTTGCACAAACGTTAAATAAATACCTGTGTCACACGTCCAAGTTCTACGTCGCTACAACGTTATTAACACGTATAGTAATATCGCGACGGGAAAACAATGTCGTGGGAATGTCGTGGTTTAGTTAGGTCTGACCTGACATTCCCACAACCTTCCGCTAACGTTGGGATTACGTTGTGTGTTAGCTGGGTATATATATAATTTATATATAACATGTTTAAGGGTCAGTTTTGAGAGATGTATTACTTAAAATTTGTAGCATAAAAGATATCATCAAGGTTTTAAATGCCATTTAACTCTCATATATGTTTCAACTTATCCAAAAATGGAGCAATTAAATTTTTATAGCACTTAAATAATTAACTAATGCATTTGAGCATTACACTCAAAAATTAACCAACTTTCAGACAATTAATGTGCAAGAAATCCAAGCATGCTTGTCCATTTCAGTTTATAATAAATTAAATACCAAAGATTTTCCTGTTTTTTTGTTAATTATTTTGTAATCAATCTTTTTATATCCAAGATCACCCTATTAAAATAACCATGTAATATGGGACCTTGTAATATTATATAACCCATTCCTGGTTCTTTTTAGACATAGTTTTTACTGAAAAATTCATGATAAATCATGTTTCAAAGTACCAAATAAAATGTAAACTTAGGGAATTCACATTTCCATGATAATATTATATCAAGTGAGCTATTTTATATACAGGGTGTATCAAAAAAAATGTCCCAAATGTAAAATTTCCGTTTTTCAAGATATTTTGCAGAAATTGGCAATTTTTTGTGTTCCTAGAGATGGTTAAGACTTATCTGGTATACCTAGGCCAAGTTTAGTTTTTCATTAACAAAATTATGTTACCAGGGGGGTGGTTCCTTTCCAGTGATATTGAGAGGGCTTGCGCGCGAAAATGTGAAGCTGAAATTGAGATATTATTTAGCTGTCTTAAAGTAGGAAAGCTTTTTAATAAACTGTCAAAGTTTCAGGAAAAATAATGCAAACTGGGAGCAACGCGCGACCCCTAAAAGTGACAAATATTTCATTGCGCGCAGTGGATTAAATGCATCGTTGATTTTAGCGTGACCGATCTCATGCAAGGCTGTATGGGCAAATGAATAAATTAAAGCGAAAAACTGAACAAGAAGACGAAGCGATTTAATAACAAGATTTTTATTCTTGATGTTAATCCTCAACATTTCCACCATTTCTTTCTAAGCAAACTGCGGCTCGTCTGAGCATGGTAAACACTGAACGGCGAACCACATTTGTCTGTCCAGCCTCAAATCATCCATTTCGTTCGAAATTCTTTCTTGCAAATCGCCTACGCTACCACCGGCAAATCTAGGCGAATGGACAGACAAATGGCTCGCTGTTCAGTGTTTAGTATGCTCAGACAAGCCGCAGTTTGCTTAGAATGAAATGGTGGACATGCTGAGGATTAACATTACGAATAAATTGCTTTGTTTTTGTGTTCAGTTTCTCACTTTAATTTATTCATTTTCCCAACCTTACATGAGATCGGTCACGCTAAAATCAACGATGCATTTAATCCACTGCGCGCAATGAAATATTTGTCACCTTTAGGCGTCCCGCGTTGCTCCCAGTATGCATTATTTTTCCTGAAACTTTGACAGTTTATTAAAAAGCTTTCCTACTTTTAGACAGCTAAATAATATCTCAATTTCAGCTTCACATTTTCGCGCGCAAGCC